ATACACTTCTATCACATTTCCGCGTTTTCCATTTTCGGTGCATTTGCAGCCACGCCTTCGCACTTCTCAAATTTCCCGCCGAGCCAAATAAAGCGTAGGTCTGGAATTGCCTGTAATGCTGTGGTGTGGAGAAATCTAGAAACATGTTGTGTGTCGATGACCGGACTGCATGTGTCTCTAGCGTCTCGCTCCTCCTATACTTTCACCCACTTAATCAGGCTAATTTTCTCAAGCGACATTGCGCCGAAGACCCCAATTCAACTCTCCACTTGTTCGATCGCCGTTACTGCTACTGCTTTGCTCAGTTTTGACTTCGTTATCTTATTTGAAAGTTTGTTTACTTAAAAACAGTCGCACTAGAAGTCTTACCGCATTACTACCGTACTATCAGAAAAATCAATATTTTTTATCCGGTAATCTTGAGAAGTTTTGCTATACAGGGGCATAAATTATTGAGGAATAAAATGTGTAAAATACACGAAAATACAAATTACATAATATTACAAAATTTCAGTTACAAAAATTGTAAAATGTGCTGTAAAATTTTCAAATTTCGACAACGTCAGTGATGAAGAATTATTTTTCGCCAAAATTTCCGGTTTCAATTCTCTACCAGTTGATTACGCAAATGTAGGATCCTTGAAACCGGAAATTTTAGCGAGAAAGAGACTGTATTCAAAATATTATGCGCAGCAGCAGAAGAATTAATTTTTATGAATATCAATGTATACCATATAAATAAATTCTTCTGCACCATTCTTTTTGGTGGAATATGTATTACAATTTCCAAGATATTTTCCGGTTTCAGACACTCTAAATATGGCAAATTAAATTTCAGCTTTGTTATATGCTTAACAAATACATAGGTTGCAATTCTGTAATATGCAGTGTGAAGACCGAAAAAAAGACCTAGTTTTCTCAAATAATTTCTGAAAATTCTAAGATGATTTTTGTAATTTAAAATAACGCGCCCAAACTTTATTTTATGCCCTTAATCACTGTATTTTTATGCGACTAGAATGCTATCGCCATTGAGACAAACTCTGAGCCATAAATGTACATTTTTATAATTCAAAAATGTTGCCCACTGCAAAAACGTTGTGAGCTTCCTTCCTGCCCACACAAGAGCTATTGCATTAACTATGTGACGTCAGTCAGTGAAGCAACTTCTCTTCTACCCAATGCAAAAATATCCATAGGCCAGCTTCTGCTTATTTGGAGTGCCAGCTTCTTGACTAGATCATTCTGAAAGGGAAAATTTTCCTGTCTTTCGCGTTTATAGGTAGCCCTGTATCTGCTTAAAGAATTAGTAGTACTTCTAGCATTTAAAAAATTTTTTCGGAATTTTAGTAGGTCACAAACTTCTTCTTCGCATTAAATTTTTAGAAAATTAGAGATCTACAAGAATGCGTTCGCTTGGTTGAACTCATTGCAACTTCTTTGCTCAAAAACTTTTTGCCGTATTTTTACCATATTCTCCATTGCAAAGTGCTTACCCTTTGATTCAGCTGGCTTGGCGGCTGGAAGGCAGGGCTTGGTGACCTAATTAAGGCTAGGTAATGATCACAGAGCACGTGCGCGGGAGAGACGCAGAGTGCGTCGCGGACGCGAGCGGCCTAAATTAGGTCATAAAGTCCTATCTTCCAACTGCCAAACTAGTAATCAATGGTTAGTTGGCAATATTTTTCATAAGTTAAGAATCGAGCTCTCTCACCTTAATTTCCTTGCAAGACGCTAGACGGCGAGATGTATATTTGTTCACACTCAATTTGCGATCAATGCTAAACAAACACTAATTTTCTATGCATTGTTGGGTGGTTACCCTTTCCTAGACGACTTTCGACTTGTTACCACGTAGAGTTCCCGTGAGTTTTTTGCAGTTAAGTTGATAGCGGCTCTTTTTGAGAACATAAATACTACGAATAGAAAGGTAGCACTGACAATTTTGTTAACGAACAGTTTCGCCCAGCAATTCAAGCCGAACATCAAACAGAGGCCAACTAGAGACCGTCTTAGTATATGACAGGTTTCATGTCAATGCTTAAGATTTCTTTAAGCACTCGAAGCTAGTTCTGTTTGATTCTTCGCTTCCACAACTTTATCGCAGCGGCTCTGTTCACCTCTTCTTTTGTAAATGCAGTACCTGTTCTGAATTTTGGATACAGAACGGTTTGAAAGAATAATTTTGATCTAACGCATATATTCGCCGCACTGTCCGAGTGCTTCTGATTTTTTTTGGAAATTCAACCGAGTACTTTTGAAATTTTGAATAAACGAAAACTTCATGTTGTTACCCTTTTCTCTTGAGTCGAAATGGTTTTCCTTTATTTATGGGAATCGGTCGTTGATATACCTCTTAGAAATCGCGAAAGAACATCATTTGGACCTTGGCCCGTCTCGCCATCTCTGCCCTTCCAAAGAAAAATTTTTTGGACTGCTGTTTCTGCTATCTAAACTACTAAAGCTGTCATTCCACTTGAGACCTTCATATACATATCTCAGGACCTCAGACTCAGTTATAGATGCAGCTGTGATTAATATATGAACAAGAAAATTTTTTTAGCGGCAGTCCAGAGCAATAACAGAGTTTATACATTAGATTTGTAATAATAAAACTTTAGCGGAGAATGAATCAGATTAAAGCGAGAAAGGTCCTGAAGTTTTTCGATATGAAGATCATCCTATAGGGCATTTTTCATCCATCGGCCACGATTTATTCCACTTCTCTTTGGCAGCTTGCAGAACAACAGCATTAATTAGATGAAATACGCAGCGATGCGAGTCCAAATGATCTTTTCTTCATTTTCGTAGCTCTCAGGGAATGAATTTCATTCCACACAAATTTCATCACATCTCCCTGAAGAAGTTTTGTCGGCTGCTTCGAGGGGGCAAAAACATAATGAACACACACACACGACATCCGTCGAAGGGAAAAGTGAATCGTGTGCTTAATCACAGCCGGTAGCAGCAGCTCTTCACTCTCTGCAAATTCTGTGATGCCGAATAATTCTGCTGAGGTCGATCAAAAAATCATTCTGTAAATACTGCGCTGTCTGGCTCATGTTGAATGTTACAATAAACACGCGAAACCGTATGGATTCAATTGCAGCTGGGGTCTCTACACGAAAAATACAACAAGCTACTATCAAAAAGGTAATTCATGGGGTTCATTTCATTTGAAAAATCTTAGGAACACTTTAGACTCAGCTTCAAGAGCATTCACCCTTTGTAGAACTCATTTTTCAAAAGGTAGCCCTGCAATCGTTTAACCATGATATTTCGTCGCGACGGAATCTGATTCATCTTATTCTTCCGAGAGTAAGATCTTTGCGGTACGATACATATAATCTAGGAGTTCCAGCATTTAAGCGAAAATGGCAGCAGTAAAACCATTCTAACCTTTGGTGCAACTGGTTTGGCGGCTGGAAGGCGTGGCTTCGTGATCTAATTAAGGCTGTTCGCGCCCGCTAGTAGTCTGCGTCTCTCTCGCGCGCGTGCACTCTATACATACCTAGCCTTAATCGGGTCACAAAGTCCCACCTTCCAGCTGTCAAGCCGTTTGAATCAAAGGGTCATCTTCTGTAAGGGTCTGATCAGTGTAGCAACAAAATGCACAACTTACTTTTAGTTTATTTTACCATTTATCTTCAATTTTTATTGTACTTGTTATTGTTTAAATTTTATCCAGAATTATAGCACAATCCATAAAAACTTTCTCCCATTCCGTAATTTTATGCTAGAATCTTGATTTTCCCATATCATAACCGTAATGAAAAAACTGGTTTATGACTGTGCAGTTTATGACACTTATGTTTTGCTTCCTGATTCGCTACATCCTCATTGTTTTTGATCGGAGATGTCACTAGCTGTTTATCATATCGGATACAACCAAATTTTTTTTAATCAAAGAAATCTTATAATTTCATATATCAAGGATTTTTATCACCCTTTGCATACCAGTACATCTTCTTTACTTCCCATTAGGACAAGAAGCAATCTAAAGTGCCTCGGTTGTCGTCACTAAGGAAGGCAAAAATAATTTGAGAATGCACTACAACAATCTCGTACGAAAATGTACTCTATGAAAATTATGTCAAATTGTTGTTTTGATTGTGCAGATTTTTTTACGTCTATTCTCGAGATTTTATGCATGATTTTTTTGGAAAAAGAAGGTAGTACGATCAAAAGGTTCCGGAAAAATCCTTGATTAACAGAGGATGAAACGGGAAAATCTTGAAATTTTTGAAAATTTGGAGGAAATTCTTGAAATCTTGAGAAAAAAAACTGCCTTGCAATTGATATTCTGTCTAGGACCCACACTTCTCTTAAATTGGCTAAATTGCCAATCTATCGAAAGAATCCTCCATTGATGAACACACGCAAACAACGAAATGACATCATTCTTAGGAGTAAATTGACTTCGCAAAGAATTTTTCATTTTTCTTCTTGTATGAATCAAATGACGTCATGTAGATGCTATATAAGGTAGTGCAAGCCTAATAGCTGAGGGGGGGGGTAAGCTAGAGGTCGCGAGACTGCATATTTTAGCCTCTTCGTCTCAGTTTTCCAATTAGCATTGCTTAGCGCGGCCGAGTTAACCTAATCCTCTTGAAACTAGCCACACCAATCGTCGACTTGACGCACCTCAAGACCTCCTTTTCCCTTCAAGACAATCCTGAAGCTTTTTTGATGTCAAAAACATTTTTACTAAGTTTGGTGTAACTCTACTCATCAGACTTCATAGTTCTTCGTAAAATTTGAAAAAAACTTTTACATGTCAAATATTTTTTCCCTAAGTTTCAAAGAATATTGCAAAATCTCATTTTCCTTCATGATTTTGTAAAAAAAAATCTTCAAATGACCATTTTTCAATTTTCCATAGAATTCCTAGTTTTCCAAATTCTATCATATATCTCAAGATTTTAATTTCTTTCATGATTTCATAAAAATTTGTTTTGAAATGACTAATTTTCAATTTTTACTAAAATTTCCCGTTTAAGAGAGGTCCCGAAGAGTTACTGTCGTCAATTCATGGAACCATCTTAGCACCAGTGATGACAGTCGATTCGGAACCGAAAAAGGTACGATTTTTCAATTTTTGAACCTTTTTTCTTTTTATTTCTTCCTATTTTCAAGCATTTTTTTTGTTCACATATACCCTTTGATTGAACTGGATTGGCGGCTAGAAGGCGGTACATCGCGAGCTAATTAAGGCTAGAGGAGGATCAGAGAGCACGCACGCGAGAGACAGACTGCATTGCGGGCGCGAGCGGCCTTAATTAGGTCACAAAGCCCCGCCTTCCAGCCGTCAGTCAAGTTGAATCAAAGGTTGAGTGTCATCGTTTTTGTATTCTGCATCAATATAATTTCTATTTTTGCAAATTTTTTTCAATGTTGATGAACACTTCACAACTATTTTCTCTCAGCAATTTTCTGTGATATATTTTTTCCATGATTTTTTTTGGAATTTTAGATCGCCGAAATACAAACTTGATAATTTTGAAGGAAAGGATACTGAAAGCATTAGAAATACTATATTACGGTCCATTTAGCTTTTGGCCTGCAAATTTATTGATTTTTTACGGGAAATGTCTCAAAATTTTCCGGTTTCAGTCATATACTTAAAACCTTGATAGCCTAACGTAACGATGGGTAAGCTGTAATCCAAACAAGTCAAAAATAGCTGCATATTCTTATAAATTAGCACTTATTTCAATGGTGAAATTAGCAACTTCAGGTACGCGCCATACTTGATCCGCTTGATCTGTTTCATCCACTTCACTATTGATCACTGAATTGACCAATGATGAAGCGGATCAAGCGGTTCAAGTGGATCAAGCGGATCAAGTATGACCCGTGCCTTACAAGAATCTCCCAAATGGCAGATATGCTATTCAAACCCGGGTTTCATTTCTAAATACACTGCTTTTCGGTTTATGCAGAAAAATTTCGGTCAGATAGAATGTTTACGTTCTGCTAAATGCTCCAGAATTTCTAAGAAAGATTTTGTATTTTTCTTGCAATAAGTAACAGTATAGATTCATAACCGCGGCCTTAGACTGTATTTTTGCGTTATTTTTATTTATTTACAAACTCTTCATCGATAATACAATTTTATCCATCTTAACCCTTAGATTTTTCAATCCATACTGTAATCAATATAGACATGCAAATTGCTTTTTTTTTTCTTCTGAAGCAAAGAATTTTTCAGGCCAAACTCGATCCGACTGCTTTATATACGCAGTATATTAGTCAGATGAACGGTCTTACAACAGCACAATTATTGGCTGGACAACCACTAGCACAGGTACGGTAATTTTGGCCGACCATTTGAAAAATGAACTTTCAGGGTGCCCGGGTCCCTTAAGAAACTGATTGGGAGACCCTAATTAAGGCATAGCTCAAGCGGCATCGCGTATGATTTGATGGTGGTCAAAAAATTTAGTTCTAGATCCTCGCCCAGACCGTACCCTCTACCGCACTCGAGGATGCATGGTTACGGTCTGGACGAGAGTTCAGAGATGTATCACTCGGTCGCTAATGATTCTTTTGAGCTGCCTTTCGGGAAATAGCTTACATGGGACTCCCCAATTGTTTCCACAGAAGAAGTCTACGTACTCAATTTTGTTTAGATTCAAAGATTTCTGAAGGAACCTGTTCAGATAGCTTCTGCACCCAACACCCACTGCACAGCCACCTCGTCGAGCACCCCTCGTTCACGCGTTGTTCATATAAGGTTAGTGTTCGCATTCTTCGTGTTCGTCCAGCATCTTTTCATTTATTTATTAAGATCTCAATGTCCAAAGGCTCTTTCAACTCTCATAAAATACTGCATATGCAAGTGCATTTCAATTCCGTTCGCGCGCTCTCCGTCATCACAGCTGAGGAAATCGATGCGTTGTTTTGCTACACATTTGCATATATTTGAAAGAAAATGCACTTGCGAAGAGAATTGCGAGAATTCATGAGAGTTTTGAAAGTGAGACGAGAAAAAAGTGTAGCTAGCAGGGGGGGGGGAGGGGGTTGGAGGGTCTTTTAACGAAACAGAGGCAAAATCTTTGAAGATCGTGAGATTTTTGAATATTGTGGTAATCTATGATATTTTAATGAGCGATCAAACTATTTTTCAACCCCCAGTTCATTTGAGCCACAAGATTTTCTGTTTGGGATCAAATTTTGCAAGCTGAAAAATCAAAAATGACAAACTGATCACAATAATTTCTTTGCCAACATAAGCTTACGCTTTATACGTTTCTTTAAAAATATAGTGATTTTTCGGCGTCTTTTGACAAATTTCTGGTACTTTGTGCCATCCATTACCGTGTTTCCAACAGTAGAGAGTTTTTCACTTGGACGGACATCTCACACAGGACATGCAGCTTTACACAGATAATCTGTGACAGTTGTCCGCGCAGGCTTTACCGCACAAATGCCCGGGTAAATTTTGTCGGCAGCAAAAAAAAATTATTTGAAAAGTGTATACTACATTAACGTTGAATGTGTTAGTTTCTAGTCTGCTATGTTCTCACATCAAAAATATCGCGCTCTAAAACAGGTGGTAATAATTTTGTGGTAATCTGGGAATATCATAATCCAGGAAATCTTTTCAATTATTGGAGATATTTTTCTTGCTACTGATATGCCTTTTATCATATATAGCCTTTTATCATTTATACCAAGAGCGGCAAAGCCTTTTTATGCAGAAATGCCAATTTTGACAGTTTTTTTACAACCTGCTTCTCGAAAAATTTTTATTCAATGTGCACTTAGAGGTCCAGCAAGTATGTATCCTCTGTAATAGTTTCCTTCCTAATCAAACGAAATAAATAGTAGTTTTCACAAGCTCATAACACAGTTATGACAATGGAATACGGCCATCTCGCGGAAATCGCGAAGTTTGCGAGTTTGCGGGGTTTGCGAATTTGCGGAATTTCCGGGTCGTGGTCGTAACATCTTTAATTAAAATTTGATAGCTGCAAGCGAATTTAGACTTGCCTGAGGACGGGAATTTTCGCAAATTTGCTTCCGCGAATCCCATTGACATAACCATAGATACCTTTTTCTGATCTACTAGTACAGTAACACAGTAACACCTATGACCAATCATGAGTTTCTTTTGCACATTTTCAGGATACAAAACGTTACAAAACTCCTTTTTCATGAATAAAAAATAACGTTCTGTCAATGCTTTGTCCATAACATGACATCTATCAGAAACCTTTGGCTTTTCACTATAAAATGAATGAGTGTCAAAGAGATGTGGATAGAGCAAAATAGACATTCCAGAAACATACCTCCGGACATGGTCGATGTGGAGCTGATACAGCTATGCGTCCCCTATGGTCCCTTATCTAATTACATGATGCTCAAGGGTAAAAGTCAGGTAAATCACCAATTTTTCGATCAATAATTCAAGTCTTTATATCGATTACTTTGCGCTTTTTGATAATTTTTGTGTATATTTGTTTCATTCTATTGTTACTATTATTGTTGACTAAGATATCCAAATGTTATTAGGTTTATAATGAATCACTTTTACATCAGCAAAATAATATTTGCTTCCGTCAGTGAATCATCGTTATTTCGAGAAAAATGCAATATTACGGTGCAAATTCATCTTTTATATTTCAAAGTCAGATTTAATGGCGTCAAATTAAAATAACAATGTTGAAAGTTCAGCTAATTTCCAGTTGATTGAAGTGTTGAATATTATTTCCGTCATGGCAGCGACTGATAGCTGTTAAAAGGCTGCGTCTGCAATTTTTCGTAAACTACAGCGCATTTATCATAATTGTGTAGTGGGCGAAGGGTAGCACTCATTCCGCAAGTTTGTCTTGAACTCGACGAATTCCTCTTTGAACAAAAAATTCCCACTTACATTATTTGGCAAATTGTGGACTTCGTCCCATCGGACCCCTCAAATCCCCCTATTTTCTCTTTTATTCTCTTCTCCGCTCTTAGCGAATAGATGCATTTTATCAGGCAGTTTTCTGTTTAATAGGTATCATTAACTGATTTACAGTATATTTTGAATAACAAGAGAGTATTGTATTGTATTTTTTTGGTATATGAAAAACTTTATTGAACGTGAACTAGAAAAAATTGAAGGATAATGCGTGAGGGTTAAACCTTTAAAAGTTTTGTCTTTCAGGGGATTTTATCAAGAAGTTAGAGGGTAAATTTCTTCTATTGAAGAGAGGGAAAACTAACTGTTATTTTGTGCAAATGAAAAATTTCTTGCAGGGTATTGCAAAGGGATTGAAAAGATTCAATTTTTATTTTGAATTTATTTATTTGAGCACATTGAAAAGAGTGAGTCTGATTTTTGGACTTGGTTTGCAGCAGTCAGGAAAAGAAAAAGCAGAAAAAATTAGATATCTAAGCCACGAAAGGCCATGGGTATAATGCTGCCACTTTTCTTTATCTAAGGATCGAACTGATACCAAATATTGATTTATACTCCGCTGCTTGACGAGGGCGCAATATCTTTGAGCGCGAACGCGGCTTTATTAACCGTAGAGCGCATGAGGAGCAGGATTTGCAACGGTGAAGATAGGCGCGCGCCGCGTTCGCGCCCGCTCAGCTAATGCTGCTTCTGCGCCTACGTCATGCAGTAGCCTTTACCATATTTTACTTTTACCTTTTTAACTGACTCGTTCCTCAACTTTATCATTTATTTTTATTTCAAATTCTTTTGTGCAAAAGTAGTTTCTGATATTTGCAAATCAACAGACTAAAAATTCGTGGAAGGGATTTTTTTAAAGTAATTTGGGTTTTCTAGTTTATTGCGTGAATGCTTTAAAATACTTGAATTTTTTCTCTTGCGCCGTCACCTTCGTCTAAAACTTGAGTCAAATAAAAAAACTGCAAGACATCAATATTGACTAGATAATCATGGTAATTTGACTAAGAATAGCTTGTATCTTGTATAGAGGATCTAATTGCGCACCACACATTTTACCCTGAAATGAACTTTTGGTACTGGTGAATTTACTGAAATTTTTTGCTGGCAACAAACCATGTTACGCACTTGTGTAGCCAACAAGCGTATCCGAAATCTCCTTTTATTTGTAAAAAAAATTTTTTTAATGCAATGTAGGGGCAATCCGGGGATCATGAGATGCGCTAATTGATTAGCTGAACTCAATCAAACCTATCTGAAAGCCAACTCATAATTATCATTCGTGGTCGAGACATTCCCTTTGATCTCCCCGCCCAGTACCGTACTTGTTCTAGCGCACCAATCCGAGTACGGTACTGGGCGGGATCTTGGAATTAAATTTTTCGGCCATAAATAAATTATATGGGCTGTTTTTTTTGTACAATAGCTTAGTTTACGCCCCTTAGCCAGCTCTTACATGGCCTACATATACAGAAGTTCTAAAAGCTCCTATTCAATAATATCTTCCTCCCTTGGCTAAAGAAGTTTTTTTATTCTGCATTTGCAGCTTCATGTAGACAGACGTTATTCATATAATATGATTCAATCAAAGATTTTTGTTCGTCTGTCTCCATTAAGTCTAATACATCCATGTATTCTTAATTTTCGTGCCTTATGATGTCTTCCGAAAAACTTTGCAGGGTATAATGTGCGCATTAAACTCTAAATAATACCGGTACAAAACAAGTTCTGCTGAAAACGTAATTGTTGATGACGACAATGACGTCAATAGTGAATTTTTTAGGCATTTGTTGAGTACGAAGACGAACACAGCGCTGTCGGTTTTGTCACGTCAATGAATGCCGTACCGATTCAGGTGGGCGGTGATGTCATTTAAATGATAATTTCTCAATTTTCTACGTCTTTTCTCGTGATATGCAATTTCAAATGGAAATGGTAAAATTTTCGCAAAAAAAAAAAACAACGTTCTCTGACGTGGGGGTAGAAGTGTTTATCTTACATCAACAAAATTGACGATCAAATGACGTAGGTTACAACCCACGCTATAAGAAAAAATGCAAAATTCTAGTTGAAAAAGAAAACAATTAGTCCTGTGTAAATTCGTGCCAGGACCATATGTCCTTATTTTAGATTCGTGGCAGGACCATATTTGCGCAATACAGTACGCATCAAGAACTTCGACTCGACAAGAATCGTTCGTCACAGGAAACTGGCGCCGACGTGAGTTTCGCTGGTGAAGAGCTGAGAGAAAGTAATGGAAAAGATAAGGATGAGAAAGAAGAGAGAAATAAGAAAATAAGAAAATATGGGTTATCATGAAATGGTGCAATTGCGGACGCTACAAATTTAACCTGCAACAACTGCAAAAAGGGGCGTGGTATCAGAAGTTTTTCTGCTTCACCAAAAAAGAAAGAGTTATCTACAAAATATGTAGAATTTGCTTCATTCGATTCGCATACCCCGTATATAGCACAGATGGCATGCTGGAGCTTAGCCAAAAAGGGGCGTGGTTGCGCAAAAGGGGCATGGTCTTCCCAAAAGGACATACTTTTAGCGAACTGGAAGCATTTTATTTGCGGAGTATGCAGACTTCGTTCGATTTCTTAGAAAATTTATATTTCGCCTCTGCTTTTCTGCCCTTCCACCCTCTCCCTCCCTCCGAAGTTCCATTCTTTCAAAAGTTTCCGTAGTTCTGAACAGCTTATGCGTATCCAGTTTCATTTCCAACGCGTTGCGTATATGCACTAAATAAGGATAATGAGCTTCTGATGGCTCTTTGGGGTTACGGTAAAGCTAGAAATTTCTCCCTTTTCCAGTATGTTTCAACTTGAATAATGATGCTGGCAAAGTTAGATATACCTCTTGCGCAGACTGGTATTGATTATAATACGTAAAGATGCATGATTTGTGACGGATGTCCAAGTAGGCGAAGCTTACTGGCTTTTGATAGCTTCGTTATCATCTTTGTCGTTTCATGTTCTACCTTTGAGAATGTTCAACTTGCTTTTTGCAACTAACCATTTTTTATTAATTCTTTCTCTATGCATGAACGCATTTCTGGCAGTGGTGCAATTGCACATCATACATCAGGAACGAAACATATAATGCCTGGTTTAGTTCAAAGTCGTTTGATGACGTAGAGACATAGCAATTTGAACGAGTCACTTTGTTATGTCTGGAGTTGATGTATGATGTGCAAACAATATGACGAAGTATGGCCTTCATGTGATCAGTCGTTTTGTGCAATTGCACAACTTTTCGAGCATTGCATCGGTAGGACCTTATTGTCGATGATTTTCAATACGTTGAATTCTAAATGACCTTGTGGTATCTCCTAGCCGTTTTACGCTGTTTTTTTTCTCATTATAACTAGTGAACCAGTAATCTAAAGGTGCTATTTAAAAGAGCGTTCGCTTCGGGACCCGCCTCGGTTTCCCGCTAAAAAGGTTTTTGAATTGAGCTAACGACTCTTTATATATTAGGTAGCGTCTGTGCCGTTAGGATCAAACATTCAATATCAAAGTTGAATTTTATTTTTGCCGTTCAGAAATATGTGGTTTTTAACAAAACTACTGTTTTGCGGGTTTTCTACACTGCAGCGTACATATTCTGAAGCAATGCATTTTTTAAAAGCTTGTGAGAATTCACAGAAAATTTTAAATTCCAGTTTGGTATGCATCGATTTTTCTCCACCTCTTCTCATCTATTCGCTCTCTTACATTCTTCCTTGTCCTCTATGACCATCATAAAATCATGAAATTCCAGTTTAGTGACTAATATGGGAGCAAAACTAGTTGTAGTCCTCGAATGATATTGCTTGAACTTCTCTATGAGTCTTAGCCAAGAATTGCGTCATTTGAATCGCCATGTTTTGAATGCATTTTGTCAGTTATGTGTTATTGTGTGTACTGCACAACATGCGCAGTTTTTCGCGACTATTTGCTCACAAGTAGCTGATTCTTTTTTTGTTTTGCTCTCTATATGAGCTAGGTAGAGGAAATGAGATTTCTTCTGCGATCGTACCCCTCCAGCTATCTCATGGGCGAGGTACCGCGTCGGGACCACGTCTGCCCTCTCCTCTCTTTGCATACTCTCTCCAACTCTCTCGGAACTACGTCTAGTTTCGCCGCAACGCTTATGCCTATTTCTCAGTCTACGTTGAAACAGGAAAAATTTTCATTGATGTAACCATGAAGGAAAAGTACAATCAATTGCGGAAAAAAATCGGTTATTTGTCGTCTTTTTTAGCCGTTCACAGTGAGTAGTCGTGAGATGGCGCGCACAGTGTGCATTCTCACAAAGCAAGTTATTACACGTATTTTTCCTGATCTCGTTTGGCTGTTTCAGGGTGCATTTTTTGTACTTCATGCATTTGTAATGCTCCTCAAAAGTATTCTCTCTGTCCACTCCTTCTTTTCGAAATTTACCCTACCTTCAGCCCCTCCCCATCCCTCTCCTTCTCCCCCCCCCTCCCCACCTCTCCAGCTCTCCATCTATTTCAAGCTTAGCAATCCAGCTATGTCAAGTTTGCTCGCACGGCTGCAGCTGCCCCCGATAGCAAACTCCCACACTCCAAGCTTGGAGCTCGTCCACACTCTCAATCACTCGCCACAAACACATTTTAATAATTAATCATGTCCCCTATACCCCCCTCCCCCTTGCCCTAGCTCACCATCGCTACCACCGCTGCTGCCAAACAAATATTCACATTCATAAGACTAACGTTCTCGCCAAATAACATAGCCAGTACTCGTCTAACAACAAGCGTTCATTTCAACAAATTCTCTCTTCTGACTGGGAGGAGGGGGGGGCATCTGTGCAAACGCAGCCGTGTGTATGGACATCCGGGCTGATGCCCTTATTTTTCCACTGCGGCCGTGCTTAATTTTCCTCTCCTCGGCTGGTGTTCCAGGCCTCATTCATTCGGGTTCGCGATTGTTAGTGGTATTTAAACGCGCTGTTCTGGACCTCATCAAGTCGAGTTCTAGAGCTACTTTTCTCTTGCGCGTTCGATTCGTTCGTTGCTTCCATTTCAAAATTCCTAAGAGCTCTAAATTTTTAGCCTATCATTTTGGTGCGTCTGCCACAGATTATGCTACAGTAATCTTACAGTAACAGCATAAGTTATCTTCATCATTGTCAGCAGAATATACACTCTGTTTTGAATAAGCAGGAGATGCAGAAGATAAGATATCCATACTGACTGTTGTATTACGGTAACGTCACTGTAAAATGAAATTTAGTTGGTCTGTAATAAGCCGGGGTCCAAGTCGATAAATTATTGATTTTTCCATACTTACAATCGTCATCAAAATTACACTTAACGTTGAAGTGATCGAATTTACCCAGAACAATTTATGCTGACTGTAGTATTACGGTAATATTACTGTAGATTATTAATTATTTTTTCTTTTAACCCAAAGATGTAATAGCCAGCAGCTTTAGATGATTTATTATTCCTTTTCATTCTCATTATCACTATCAAGATCTGCATCATCGGTATTGATTGACTAAATAAGATTCTGAATTAGCTGACTAATATTACGGTAAGATTACTGTAAGATATTCTTGAGCTCGTAAATCTTGAGAAAAGATGGAGTTTGAGCTGAATCAATATTGACAACTTTTTCGCACTTGTTATTACAATCAGGACAAATCTAAAATATCAGCTGATCAATCGATTGTATATTCTAGATCATATCAACTGTAAAATCACGACCGTTTTACAGAACTCTTAGCAGCTTGCAACTTTGCCGAGGAGATGTACTTATGCCCAATCAATTTAGGTATAAGACTAACAATTTTTGAATTTCCTCCTGTCTAATCTCTCCTTTATCCCCCCCCCCCTTGTAGAATATGATGGACATAGTATAAAAGGCCATAGTCACCGCTTTGAACTGCTCAAATATCCTGCTAAGGTAATGTAATCAATTTAAAGTATTTTCATCAGATCAGCGCCATTTCGCATTATGGCAGCGGTATCTTGGTACGGTAACTTTTTTCTAATTCAATCTTGCGCATGAAAATAAAATTCAAATTTAGGTTATTTTATTATTCTTATGAAGTCAAAACAGTGCCAATATGGACTGAAACTGGGCTTCGTTTTTACTGTTTTTTTTTTTGGCTTGATTTCCCCTGCCCTCACTTTCCGCCCTCTTCCCCGGAATCGGTTAAACTCCTAATATGAGAATTGTGTATACAATGAACCCCATATTGCTCGATTATTTGCGTCCCCATCTGTGTGCGGATGTTGCCTGAGGGGGGGGGGCCACATCTGGTTATAATCACGTTATATGTTCCTCTTCCGCCTCTTCTTTCCAAATACAAATCGGGGAGGGGGGGGGGGGGGGGAGGGAGGGAGATGTGATTGATCACAATTGCATTTATAGAGCGGTAGGTCCTCGCAACACTGCTATGTTTTCCGCTATTCATTTGTCATTTTCTGCATTTGCGGACTTGTGCAACTTATCAGAGTAATTTTATGCAAGGGCGGGGGATTGCTATCGAACGCGACCAATGGAAAATTTTTGGGAAATTCAGAAAATTCTTCGAACATTCACTTGCACTTCATTCGACCAGAATTTTGTAGTTTAGGTTTATCGCCTTCTTTCCAATAAAAAAATACCTGTGTTGTTACTGAAGAGTATTTGAATTTCTTTGTAAATGTCGTAATTTCACAAAATTTTGAAAAAAAATTGTTTCCAATAGAAAGCTTATTGGAAACGAACCGTGTGAACAGTAATTTATAAACTTCACATACATTGTTTTCCAAATTCAACAGTTTCCAAAAAAATTCGTATATTATTTTTTTTGATTTTTAAAACATGATTTTCAAATTCACTTCATTCAGCCTGATAGCCAACTAGCTTCGCTCCTATATTCTTTGTTTACATTTGGCATCCAATTACCTAAAAATCTTGATTTCTTCCCCTCCCCCCCCTTCTCCCTCCCGCTATCCTCCAGCTCTCTAGATTCAGTCAGATAGTCCTACCCGTTTCTGACTCAATAGTGACGTTCCAGAAAAACGAGGAGAACACTCAATCTAGTTTCTAAAGTCCTTCATGCATTTTAAAGTGAAAAGAAGAAAGTTTACTGACATGTGAATAGAAGAGCAAGAGAGGAAAAGGGGAAGGCCCTTTGTTGAGGTGTGTCCAGGGAGTGGGACAAGGTGAAGTCAGGGATGTCCAGAAATTAGCCATCGAGCATCGGATGTCCTAATA